TCAGCTGTCTACTGTACACATTCATCTGTCTACTGTACACATTCAGCTGTCTACTGTACACATTAAGCTGTCTACTGTACACATCCAGCTGTCTACTGTACACATTCAGGTGTCTACTGTACACATTCAGATATCAACTGTACACATTAGGGGGAACGGGTGCCCCGTCGTCTCAGGTGCAGCGATTCGCTGTGCAGAGTTGCATACCTTGGGCACACCAGAAACCTATGATTGTGGGTTCGAATCCTGGTTTGCCCCAATTATGTTTCTAGGTTTGTCAGCACCATACCCATGCTCGTGGGTTTCACCGAAGTGGTAAATGTCTGAGACCTGCATCATTTCGGGCTTTCCTCCCACATTAAGCTGACACGCCGTGATATAACTGGAATACTGTTAAAAGCGGCGTTAAACACAACTCACTCACTCACTCACTGTACACATTAAGCTGTCTACTGTACATATTCAGCTGTCTACTGTACACATTCGCCTGTCCACTACACACATTCAGCTGCCTACTGTACACATTCAGCTAACTACTGTACATATTCATCTGTCCACTACACACATTCAGCTGCCTACTGTACACATTCAGCTAACTACTGTACATATTCATCTGTCCACTACACACATTCAGCTGCCTACTGTTAACATTCATCTGTCTACTGTACACATTCAACTGTCTACTGTACACACTCACCTGTCTATTGTACACATTCATCTGTCTACTGTACACATCCAGCTGTCTACTGTACACATTCACCTGCCCACTTTACACATTCAGCTGTCTACTGTACACATTCATCTGTCTACTGTTCACATCCAGCTGTCTACTGTACACATTCAGCTGCTTACTGTACACATTCAACTTTCTACTGTCGCATTCAGCTGTCTACTGTACACAATCAGCGGTCTACTGTACACATTCAGCTGTCCACTACACACATTCACCTGTCTACCATACACATTCACCTGCCCATTGTACACATTCAGCTGTCTACTGGACACATTCAGCTGTCCAAAATACACATCCAGCTGTCTACTGTACACATTCAGCTGTCTACTGTACACATCCAGCTGTCTACGGTACACATCCAGCTGTCTACTGTACACATTCAGCTGTCTACTGGACACATTCAGCTGTCCAAAATACACATCCACCTGTCCACTGTACACATTCACCTTTCCACTGTACACATTCACCTTTCCACTGTACACATTCAGCTGTCCACTGTACACATCCATCTGTCTACTGTACACATCCATCTGTCTACTGTACACATCCAGCTGTCCACTGTACACATTCAGCTGTCTACTGTACACATCCAGCTGTCTACGGTACACATTCAGCTGTCTACTGTACACATTCAGCTGTCCACTGTACACATCCATCTGTATACTGTACACATCCAGCTGTCTACAATACACATGCAGGTATCTACTGAACACATTCAGGTGTCTACTAAACACATGCAGGTATCTACTGAACACATGCAGGTATTTACTGGAAACATTCACCTGTCTACTGCACACATACACTTATCTACTGAACACATACATGTATCTACTGAACAAATTCAGGTATCTACTGAACAAATTCAGGTATCTACTGAACAAATTCAGCTGTCTACTGTACACATTCACTTATCTACTGAACATATTCCGCTGTCTACTGTACACATACACTTATCTACTGAACACATTCAGGTGTCTACTGAACATCAGCTATCTACTGAACACATGCAGGTATCTACAGAACACATTCAGCTGTCTACTACACAAATACAGTTATCTGCTGTAGACATAATTTGTCTACTGTATACATTCACCTGTCTACTGTACATATTCAGCTGCCTACTGTTCACATTCATCTGTCTACTGTACACATTCATCTGTCTACTGAACACATCCAGCTGCCCACTGTACACACTCACCTTTCTACTGTACACATCCACCTCTATACTGTACACATTCAGCTAACAACTGTACATATTCATCTGTCTACTGTGCACATTCAGCTCACAACTATACATATTCATCTGTCTTCTGTACACATTCAGCTAACTACTGTACATATTCATCTGTCCACTACACACATTCAGCTGTCTACTGTACACATTCATCTGTCTACTGTACACATTCAGCTAACTACTGTACATATTCATCTGTCCACTACACACATTCAACTGTCTACTGTACACATTCATCTGTCTACTGTACACATTCAGCTGTCTACTTTACACATCCATCTCCATACTGTACACATTCAGCTAACTACTGTACATATTCATCTGTCCACTACACACATTCAGCTGTCTACTGTACACATTCATCTGTCTACTGTACACATTCAGCTGTCTACTGTACACATCCATCCCTATACTGTACACATTCAGCTAACTACTGTACATATTCATCTGTCCACTACACACATTCAGCTGCCTACTGTACACATTCATCTCTCTACTGTACACATTCAGCTAACTACTGTACATATTCATCTGTCCACTACACACATTCAGCTGCCTACTGTACACATTCATCTCTCTACTGTACACATTCAGCTACCTACTGTTCACATTCATCTGTCTACTGAACACATCCAGCTGCCCACTGTACACACTCACCTTTCTACTGTACACATTCATCTGTCTACTGTACACATTCAGCTGTCTACTGTACACATTCAGCTGTCTACTGTACACATTCAGCTGTCTACGGTACACATTCACCTTTCTACTGTACACATCCATCTCTATACTGTACACATTCAGCTAACAACTGTACATATTCATCTGTCTACTGTACACATTCAGCTGTCTATTGTACACATTCAGCTGTCTACTGTACACATCCATCTCTATACTGTACACATTCAGCTAACAACTGTACATATTCATCTGTCCACTACACACATTCAGCTGTCTACTGTACACATTTAGCTGTCTATTGTACACATTCAGCTGTCTACTGTACACATCCATCTCTATACTGTACACATTCAGCTAACAACTGTACATATTCATCTGTCCACTACACACATTCAGCTGTCTACTGTACACATTCATCTGTATACTGTACACATTCAGCTAACTACTGTACATATTCATCTGTCCACTACACACATTCAGCTGTCTACTGTACACATTCAGCTAACTACTGTACATATTCATCTGTCCACTACACACATTCATCTGTCTACTGTACACATTCAGCTGTCTACTGTGCACATTCATCTGTCCACTACACACATTCAGCTGCCTACAGTACACATTTATCTGTCTACTGTACACATTCAGCTGTCTACTGTACATATTCATCTGTCCACTACACACATTCAGCTGTCTACTGTACACATCCATCTCTATACTGTACACATTCAGCTAACTACTGTACATATTCATCTGTCCACTACACACATTCAGCTGCCTACTGTACACATTCAGCTAACTACTGTACATATTCATCTGTCCACTACACACATTCAGCTGCTTACTGTACACATTCAGCTAACTACTGTACATATTCATCTGTCCACTACACACATTCAGCTGCCTACTGTACAGATTCAGCTAACTACTGTACATATTCATCTGTCCACTACACACATTCAGCTGCCTACTGTACACATTCAGCTAACTACTGTACATATTCATCTGTCCATTACACACATTCAGCTGCCTACTGTACACATTCATCTGTCTACTGTACACATTCAGCTGTCTACTGTACACATTCATCTGTCTACTGTACACATTCATCTGTCTACTGTACACATTCAGCTGTCTACTGTACACATTAAGCTGTCTACTGTACACATCCAGCTGTCTACTGTACACATTCAGGTGTCTACTGTACACATTCAGATATCAACTGTACACATTAGGGGGAACGGGTGCCCCGTCGTCTCAGGTGCAGCGATTCGCTGTGCAGAGTTGCATACCTTGGGCACACCAGAAACCTATGATTGTGGGTTCGAATCCTGGTTTGCCCCAATTATGTTTCTAGGTTTGTCAGCACCATACCCATGCTCGTGGGTTTCACCGAAGTGGTAAATGTCTGAGACCTGCATCATTTCGGGCTTTCCTCCCACATTAAGCTGACACGCCGTGATATAACTGGAATACTGTTAAAAGCGGCGTTAAACACAACTCACTCACTCACTCACTGTACACATTAAGCTGTCTACTGTACATATTCAGCTGTCTACTGTACACATTCGCCTGTCCACTACACACATTCAGCTGCCTACTGTACACATTCAGCTAACTACTGTACATATTCATCTGTCCACTACACACATTCAGCTGCCTACTGTACACATTCAGCTAACTACTGTACATATTCATCTGTCCACTACACACATTCAGCTGCCTACTGTTAACATTCATCTGTCTACTGTACACATTCAACTGTCTACTGTACACACTCACCTGTCTATTGTACACATTCATCTGTCTACTGTACACATTCACCTGTCTTTTGTATACATCAGCACTCTACTGTACACATCCAGCTGTCTACTGTACACATCCATCTGTCAACTGTACACATTCAGCTGTCTACTGTACACATTCATCTGTCTACTGTACACATAAATGTAACAAGCATGAAACTACCTCTTGATATTTTATTTTTTTAATGAAATGTTTGAAATTTAAACATACTCAATGGAAGGTAGGACATACCTATATTATAAAATATAACCATAAAACCATTTCTAACTAATTCTAAGCTCATATGAGTTTCAGAAAACAAATCCTTCATATTTATGTAGTCTAGGAAACAAGATTTAATCAACTCTTGTCACAAACTAAGTTTAAAAAACAATTGGTTTCCATGTGTCTTTCAGGCAGGTGCTTTATGGGAAAACAACTAGAAAACAGTTTTAACTTTGAAAACTAGAAACTTGTGAGTAATATATTTACTTAATAATTGCAAACTAACATGCTCAGGTATAATGTATTATTTACTCCTCAAACATCAATGTTGTATCCTGACAGGGCAGGATGGAAAGTGAATCTCATCAACAGTTCAGATCCCGACTGGTGGAAGGTAAGTAGAGAATAGAAGTACATTCTCACTTTACCCACTATAACAATGCCCACAGTCACTGGGTATATAGTACTCCCCACAGACACTGGTAATGTAGTACTCCCCACAGACACTGGGTATATAGTACTCCCAACAGACACTTGGTACAAAGTACTCCCACAGACACTGGGTATAGAGTACTCCCCACAGACACTGGGTATATAGTACTCCCAACAGACACTGGGTATGTAGTACTCCCCACAGACACTGTGTATATAGTACTCCACACAGACACTGGGTATAGAGTACTCCCCACAGACACTGGGTATGTAGTACTTCCCACGGACACTGGGTATATAGTACTCCCCACAGACACTGGGTAAATAGTGGGTATATAGTACTGGGTATAGAGTACTCCCCACAGACACTGGGTATGTAGTACTCCCCACAGACACTGGGTTTGTAGTACTCCCCACAGACACTGGGTACAAAGTACTCCCCACAGACACTGGGTATGTAGTACTCCCCACAGACACTGGGTTTATAGCACTCCCCACAGACACTGGGTATATAGTACTCCCCACAGACACTGGGTAAATAGTACTCCCCACAGACACTGGGTATAGAGTACTCCCCACAGAAACTGGGTATATAGTACTCCCTACAGAAACTAGGTATATAGTGCATGTACTCCCCACAGACACTGGGTATAGAGTACTCCCCACAGACACTGGGTATGTGGTACTCCCCACAGACACTGTGCATATAGTACTCCCTACAGACACTGGGTATGTAGTACTCTCCACAGACACTGTGTATATAGTACTCCCCACAGACACTGGGTATAGAGTACACCCCACAGACACTGGATATATAGTACTCCCCACAGACACTTGGTACAAAGTACTCCCACAGACACTGGGTATAGAGTACTCCTCACAGACACTGGGTATATAGTACTCCCCACAGACACTTGGTATGTAGTACTCCCCACAGACACTGGGTAAATAATGGGTATATAGTACGGGGTATAGAGTACTCCCCACAGACACTGGGTATGTAGTACTCCCCACAGACACTGGGTATGTAGTACTCCCCACAGACACTGGGTACAAAGTACTCCCCACAGACACTGGGTATGTAGTACTCCCCACAGACACTGGGTATATAGTACTCCCCACAGACACTGTGTATATAGTACTCCCCACAGACACTGGGTATAGAGTACTCCCCACAGACACTGGGTATATAGTACTCCCCACAGACACTTGGTACAAAGTACTCCCCACAGACACTGGGTATAGAGTACTCCCCACAGACACTGGGTATATAGTACTCCCCACAGACACTGGGTATCTAGTACTCCCCACAGACACTGTGTATAGAGTACTCCCAAACGACACTGGGTATGTAGTACTCCTCACGGACACTGTGTATATAGTACTCCCTACAGACACTGGGTTTATAGTACTCCCCGCAGAAACTGGGTATATAGTACTCCCCACAGACACTGGGTATATAGTACTCCCTACAGAAACTAGGTATATAGTGCATGTACTCCCCACAGACACTGGGTATAGACTACTCCCCACAGACACTGGGTATATAGTACTCCCCACAGACACTGGGTATATAGTACTCCCCACAGACACTGGGTATCTAGTACTCCCCACAGACACTGTGTATAGAGTACTCCCCACAGACACTGGGTATGTAGTACTCCCCACGGACACTGGGTTTATAGTACTCCCCGCAGAAACTGGGTATAGAGTACTCCCCACAGGAACTGGGTATATAGTACTCCCTACAGAAACTAGGTATATAGTGCATGTACTCCCCACAGACACTGGGTATAGAGTACTCCCCACAGACACTGGGTATGTGGTACTCCCCACAAACACTGGGCATATAGTACTCCCTACAGACACTGGGTATGTAGTACTCTCCACAGACACTGGGTAAATAGTACTCCCCACAGACACTGGGTGCATAGTACTCCCCACAGACACTGGGTATATAGTACTCCCCACAGACACTGGGTATATAGTACTCCCCACAGACACTGGGTATATAGTACTCCCCACAGACACTGGGTATGTAGTACTCTCCACAGACACTGTGTATATAGTACTCCCCACAGACACTGGGTATAGAGTACACCCCACAGACACTGGATATATAGTACTCCCCACAGACACTTGGTACAAAGTACTCCCACAGACACTGGGTATAGAGTACTCCTCACAGACACTGGGTATATAGTACTCCCCACAGACACTTGGTATGTAGTACTCCCCACAGACACTGTGTATATAGTACTCCCCACAGACACTGGGTATGTAGTACTCTCCACGGACACTGGGTATATAGTACTCCCCACAGATACTGGGTAAATAATGGGTATATAGTACGGGGTATAGAGTACTCCCCACAGACACTGGGTATGTAGTACTCCCCACAGACACTGGGTATGTAGTACTCCCCACAGACACTGGGTACAAAGTACTCCCCACAGACACTGGGTATGTAGTACTCCCCACAGACACTGGGTATATAGTACTCCCCACAGACACTGTGTATATAGTACTCCCCACAGACACTGGGTATAGAGTACTCCCCACAGACACTGGGTATATAGTACTCCCCACAGACACTTGGTACAAAGTACTCCCCACAGACACTGGGTATAGAGTACTCCCCACAGACACTGGGTATATAGTACTCCCCACAGACACTGGGTATCTAGTACTCCCCACAGACACTGTGTATAGAGTACTCCCAAACGACACTGGGTATGTAGTACTCCTCACGGACACTGTGTATATAGTACTCCCTACAGACACTGGGTTTATAGTACTCCCCGCAGAAACTGGGTATATAGTACTCCCCACAGACACTGGGTATATAGTACTCCCTACAGAAACTAGGTATATAGTGCATGTACTCCCCACAGACACTGGGTATAGAGTACTCCCCACAGACACTGGGTATATAGTACTCCCCACAGACACTGGGTATATAGTACTCCCCACAGACACTGGGTATCTAGTACTCCCCACAGACACTGTGTATAGAGTACTCCCCACAGACACTGGGTATGTAGTACTCCCCACGGACACTGGGTTTATAGTACTCCCCGCAGAAACTGGGTATAGAGTACTCCCCACAGGAACTGGGTATATAGTACTCCCTACAGAAACTAGGTATATAGTGCATGTACTCCCCACAGACACTGGGTATAGAGTACTCCCCACAGACACTGGGTATGTGGTACTCCCCACAAACACTGGGCATATAGTACTCCCTACAGACACTGGGTATGTAGTACTCTCCACAGACACTGGGTAAATAGTACTCCCCACAGACACTGGGTGCATAGTACTCCCCACAGACACTGGGTATATAGTACTCCCCACAGACACTGGGTATATAGTACTCCCCACAGACACTGGGTATATAGTACTCCCCACAGACACTTGGTACAAAGTACTCCCCACAGACACTGGGTATATAGTACTCCCCACAGACACTGGGTAATAGAGTACTCCCCGCAGACACTGGGTATGTAGTACTCCCCACAGACACTGGGTATGTAGTACTCGCCACAGACGCTTTGTATATAGTACTCCCCACAGACACTTGGTATAGAGTACTCCCCACAAACACTGGGTATGAAGTACTCCCCACAGACACTGGGTACAAAGTACTCCCAACAGACACTGGGTATGTAGTACTCCCCACAGACACTGGGTATATAGTACTCACCACAGACACTGTGTATATAGTACTCCCCACAGACACTGGGTATAGAGTACACCCCACAGACACTGGATATATAGTACTCCCCACAGACACTTGGTACAAAGTACTCCCACAGACACTGGGTATAGAGTACTCCCCACAGACACTGGGTATATAGTACTCCCCACAGACACTGGGTATGTAGTACTCCCCACAGACACTGTGTATATAGTACTCCCCACAGACACTGGGTATATAGTACTCCCCACAGACACTGGGTATATAGTACTCCCCACAGACACTGGGTATGTAGTACTCTCCACAGACACTGTGTATATAGTACTCCCCACAGACACTGGGTATAGAGTACACCCCACAGACACTGGATATATAGTACTCCCCACAGACACTTGGTACAAAGTACTCCCACAGACACTGGGTATAGAGTACTCCTCACAGACACTGGGTATATAGTACTCCCCACAGACACTTGGTATGTAGTACTCCCCACAGACACTGTGTATATAGTACTCCCCACAGACACTGGGTATGTAGTACTCTCCACGGACACTGGGTATATAGTACTCCCCACAGATACTGGGTAAATAATGGGTATATAGTACGGGGTATAGAGTACTCCCCACAGACACTGGGTATGTAGTACTCCCCACAGACACTGGGTATGTAGTACTCCCCACAGACACTGGGTACAAAGTACTCCCCACAGACACTGGGTATGTAGTACTCCCCACAGACACTGGGTATATAGTACTCCCCACAGACACTGTGTATATAGTACTCCCCACAGACACTGGGTATAGAGTACTCCCCACAGACACTGGGTATATAGTACTCCCCACAGACACTTGGTACAAAGTACTCCCCACAGACACTGGGTATAGAGTACTCCCCACAGACACTGGGTATATAGTACTCCCCACAGACACTGGGTATCTAGTACTCCCCACAGACACTGTGTATAGAGTACTCCCAAACGACACTGGGTATGTAGTACTCCTCACGGACACTGTGTATATAGTACTCCCTACAGACACTGGGTTTATAGTACTCCCCGCAGAAACTGGGTATATAGTACTCCCCACAGACACTGGGTATATAGTACTCCCTACAGAAACTAGGTATATAGTGCATGTACTCCCCACAGACACTGGGTATAGAGTACTCCCCACAGACACTGGGTATATAGTACTCCCCACAGACACTGGGTATATAGTACTCCCCACAGACACTGGGTATCTAGTACTCCCCACAGACACTGT